TGCAGTTAAATATATATCTGATGACGAGAAAAAGAAATACAAAGAAACACCGTCATAAGTAGGTATTGTTAGTAAATAGTACGTTAACGTAATACAGCTCTGATCATCCTCCCTTAAACTGCGATAATAGACTTAAATGATATAATACGTATCAAATGCGTGTGTCTAAATGTTACGAAGCTTTCTTTCCGAGCATGAATCATTTCATTATAAAACGCTCTCTTCTAGTTCCCGACCCCGATTTATAAGAGACTATTTAGAAGTGGACAGCGTGGATACACTTCACGCGCGACAGATGTTCGATCGTCTAACACTTTGTCATGTTTCTCTGTCTGCAAAACGAATACTTGATCCAGACTACGCACAACCCACAATGCTTGTCTCCTTTAGGAGAAAAACAGGAAAGCTTTATCGTTATCGCGACAACGGCATGCAGACTCTCTTCATACAGTTCATCGTCAACCTACATATTGCGGTTCGCTTCTGCAAATTATTTCGTAATATTGCCACTTGCAATAAATATCCTTATATTGTATTATCGCGTTAGGCATTTCTCTACAAGGTTACGCAAGTATTTTATTTCACGTTGTTGTGATATATTATTACGCTATTGTAATGTTATGTAGATAAAAAGAAATAACTATGAATGTTCTCTCCAATTCGTCCTGTAGTATAAATAATATAATTTCGCCGTTTTTCTTGCCAAATGTATGACATTTGTATTCAACCTTTCTGCGTTTTTTGACATAACTTTAATATAATGTAATTGTATTTTTTGTGAATCGTATAATAAAGTTTAATAATATCATGGGCCAGACAAAAATACTTAAACAAAGTGTAGCAATGTATATATTGATCTTTTGCTGAATAATTTAATAATAAAAATCCTACGCAAATGAATCTCCAACCGAGTTCTTGCGTCGACCAGAAAATAAATAGCTATTATAGCTAGAGTTTGGGCGTGCTAGAACAAGATAATATCTACATCGAATTCATTCGAATTTTGGGAATTCAAAGTAGAAGATAATATTGAATATTGTAGGTGTAGATAAAATTGTTTGCGTAGCGTTATTATTTATCAAAGATATTTTTGTGTGAAATAAACAAGAGAAAAGAAGAAATTAACTCTTAAAATCCTAAACCTTTCATTTGAATAACTGAAAGTTTAGGATTTTAGTTTACTTTAATTTTTTTTATGAATTTGACAGATACGTACTATTACTATTGATATACTATTTATTGTGCGTTTCTTTCTAGTCTGTGTAAAATTTTATTGTGCTATACTAGCTGGAATGTCAGGTGAGAGGTCGATTCAATTCACTATGAAGCGGGTTCTCACGATTCTGAATGACTTTGGTACAATGGTGAGTGACCTGTCCGAAGAAATAAGAAGACGCAGACTCGCTGACTACCGGGCAATGCCCTTTCCTATTGTGCCGAAAATTTTCTTTCACGTTTTCCGCAACGAAAATACGTCCTCTGTCCGGGCGTCGAAATCGCCCACGTATCTGTCTACCGGGTGACTTCAACGACATCAGTAAATATAACTTGTTTTTGTGTAAATTATGCAAATTATTATTCAGTATATTATTATGTTGATTACTATCTAATTTGAATAGAAAAAATATTATTTGCACAAGAGTAATAAATATAAGCACTGTGAGAAATACTGTCTTCAAATTATTTTTCACATAGATAAGTGTATTATTACATTAAATGTGTATCTCACATCATTCATATATTATTAATAATTAAATAAAATCATACTTTCCTTTCCTCATATTAGTGTCCCCACAATTCCATATAATTGACCAAGAAGTAAATATTATCATGCTAGAAGTATGATTCACGTCATAACTCAAGAAGTATATTCTTGGTCGATTACATGAAACAAATTAGTCGTGAATTCAATTATTTCCTCAATAAAGCACTTTGATTTAGCTAGAAAGATATTGACGTTTCGCGGTATTACGGAAAGTGGAGTTGGAATGGAGGAGCGTACTCTATAGTCAGCATATAGATACACGCATCGTCATCGATTAACTGAAATGCCATAACGTCTATTTTGCAACGAGATTATGTCGAATAGCTGCAGTTTCAGGCTCTCGGATTACACGGCGCCCAGAGTCATGCTGATGGGTGCTTTCCACGCAGGTCTCTTATGTTACTATCGGCTTCACGCCCGATTTAATCATCCGTTACACATCGCTCGGTCTTCCCTCTAGTCTCTATACGAACCGGTTTGTTACACGAAATTTTGTATTAGCTAATTGCGCGTTGTGCTCATAGTGGAATCACATCGCATTCGTTATCTACCTCCTGCGGAGACTGATTCTATGGGACTGATTTGTTCTGATTGTCAGAGAGAAATGCATATCTTGGACTAATTTCTTCATAAATATTTTTTTTTCGTGTAAATATGTTGTATCATTTCAAAATTATATCAGCATTATTCTATTGTAAATTTAATGCAAAAAATACTTCTATCGACTATGCTTTAATTAATATATTTATTAAGGAAAATGCGTGTTTTTTTAACAACTGCGTAATATTTCAAATTTGTGATATAGTGCGAGATTGATATAAAAAAACTAATTTTTTTTTAACCATGTAGTGAATATTTTTGAAATATTGTATGTGAATAATTACGACTAATGTTTCAAATCATTGTAATCTAATAACGTCTCAAGGCATAAAAAGATATTCGAATCTTGAATATTTCTCGCTTCAACAAGCATGAATAATATATGCCAAGTCCGTAACGATGCGTTGAAAGATATAAAGTGATGATTTTGTCATCGGTGTTTTGTTAGGATTAAAATATTAATTTTTCCATATTTCTATTAATCTAATTTTTCCCCTTATTTACAACGTTAATACTGCGATAGAAAATCAAAAAATATATAATTAGGAGTAAGTATGATTGTCTGAATTTTATTCGTTTAATATGAAAATTATGTTTTTATTGTAAATTCAAAAAATCAAGCAGTTGCAACGCAATGAGAATGTAATAAAATAGTATCTTACACACTAAAGACTCTTGTAATTAAATAATCTTAAATTAAATAATTTTAAATCAAACTTTTTTTATCAGTTAAAAATAAAGTAAAAATAAAACATTTTATAATTCATTAATCTCATTAATTGAAGATCACTAATACTACCCAAGAATTATACATGAATTTTGAATTGACACGTGTAGTTGCGAACAAAAATAAATGGAGAACGAAAAAGATTGCAGGTAATTAGTCAGATGAGCGATTGATGATCAGGATCGAGATAATATCGTTTCGATGCTGAATAGCGAGCGATGCGAACACGCATGGATAAATGAAATTAATTTCATTTCGAGAGGCGAATATTTATGCCACGATACAACGGCAGGTCAACGATTGACGTTTAAAGAGCTCGTCTGACGTTCCCACGCATTGTCCGGTTGGTACGAAAGGCTAGAATTAGGCTCCGTAGAGCCTACCTAAGAGCGATTGAAGTTGCCCCAGATGTGGAGCGATATCAAACTATTTCTCTGGTATGTCGTCGCCATCCGCTACGTTAGCAAAACACACCCACATTCGTTAGCATTGGAACGGCCGAGAGTTGATGACTGCATAGGACAATAGTATCTAATTTCATGAATGAAATAGAAACGAAGAAATAATCTGCAGTGAATGAAAAACTTGGAGATTTTAAAAATAAAAAAGAAAATTTCGATTATTCGATTATTCGCAAATGTTGAAATCTAAAACAAGACTTCAGTCAATTAATTCTCTTTTCAATTAAAAAATAGTTCCTTTTTAAATAAATAAAAAAATTATTTTGTTCCCAAAATTAAACGTTTGACTGTTTGAATGTTAAATCGTAAAGAAGTTCATGTACGTGGGAGAGAGAGGGTCAATTAGGGTCAAAAGTAAACTAAGTGCGACTGTAATTTTCGCATTATGTGTGTTTTACGATTCACCATAAATAGATGGTCGATAAATAGCGTTGAAATTTGCTTCAACTAGGAATGACTTTTATAGAAATTTATTATGTTCTTCGAAGTGCGTGCCTTTGGTAGCGACAACCAATTTTCGCGCTTATGAATCATCTCACCAGATGGTAGGAAGTAAAATGGGAACATAAATTGATAAAGACTCTAATCTAACTATTATCTAATAATACTATATATAAAAATAATAAATGGAATACGAGAAAAATAACAAGATGCCAAAAAAGAAATTAAATTAAAAAGATATTTTTCACATAGCTTATTATTTAACAAATTCTAAGGTTGTTGACTTTGATGTCAGAACCCTTAAATCCAAAATGGCGGTTCCAACATGGCCGACCAAAATGTGGAAAGCAGTAGGGGTCATATGACGATTCAAAGATTAATGGCAGACAGCGAAGATAATTGTCTTTTAGGGAAATTGACTACCTCAAATTATAATTTCCGAAATACTCTTTTGATAAAAATATCATTCGAAATTTCCATTGAAGCTATACGAGAAATGATCACACCTATCACATGGACAGCTGATTCCTATATAACAGAGGTGATTATTGCAAATAGATTATGTAATCACAATCCACATCCTCAGATTCGTTTCGATTATAACTACGACCTCAATATTGACGACTTTGAACAGCGGTAATCCGATCATCAACGCGTAAAAATGTGCCACGTAGAAATTCGTCACAACGTGATCTTTAGTGCGTGATCAATTTCCAGTTCTCCAATTCACACGGACTTCGAACTTTGACGTTTCCATCGATCCCACCATCGAGCTCACCGCGTGTCGTCTACCTGATTCGTTGGTCTTTAGCGATCTGTCATCCCTCTGAACATTCACGATGATTGACGCAATGTCGCATGCATTTCTCGCGCCGGACCATCGCTCGATCGTAACTCCTATCATCCCCCGAAGATAAAAGCGTTTCGTCGAAAGGCGTTTCACGTAATCGTTGGCACGAATTTGCGGTGGTGCGCGATACATTCTAAGGATACGTTTCGTACTCACCACAGCCTCGGCGATCGGTATCCACGTGGCGGCGTGCACCAGTAGGGCAAGGACGCAGGTGACTCGCAGGACAAGCGGGACAGGCCGCGAGATGCCGTGATTCGCGTCACCGATGATTCTCGACGTCGCCGCGGCCCTGGGCCGCATCGTGTCGGCCTGGGGTCCTCCTCCTCCTCCTTCTCCTCCTCCTCTTCTCTATCTTTCGATCAAATCTGCAGGTTTCGCGGATGGTCCCAGCCAGGGGTTGCCTCACCTCCGGTCCTTTCTTCGTTCTCGCGGCCTCCGAGAGAGCGGTGTCTCCGAGTTCGTTCTCGCCAGTCTCAGCGGCGACGACGTGCGGCTCAGCAATATCGTGCTGAAACCGCGCCGCTAAGCTCGTCGTCGGCCAGCCTGTCGACGCACCGCGTGTCGAAGGGCCAGACAGACGGCCCGGTTAGCCCGTCCTCCTGATCGCTACACACAGACGGGCGGACACAAGGCAGACCCGAAGGCGGCGGAGGAGGTGCTCGCTCTCTCTCTTCTCTTCCTCTTTCCTCTTCGTCTCTGTCTCTCCCACCCTCTCTGGCTATCTCGCTTTTTCTTCTTCCGTCACTGTCTCCTCTGATCGGTCTTTCTTTCCCTCTCCCTCTCTCTCTCGTTCTCTCTCTCTCTCTCTCTCTCTCTCTCTCTCTCGTTCTCTCGCACGCTGTATCCTTGCGCGCTCGTGGAGCTCTCGCGGCACGCTCGGCGGTGGCGCGGCCTCCCTGACAAACGGGCCCCGCTCTGCCCCCCCGTGGTATGGCTAAGTTCCGTAAGCTCGGGCTGACTCGGGCTGGCACTGCTGGCAGCTCGGAACCGGCACGGCCGATACCGGTAGGGTCCCTCGCGGCCGCACAACAGTCCTCGTGCGACGCGCGACCGCGCGAGCAAACGCTCGGCTCGGAGCCGGCCAGCGGCACTCCACCGCCTCCTCCTTCTCCTCTCTTGGTCCTCTCTACCTCCTCCTTCTTTTCTCTTCAGTTGTTTCTTCTTCCCCTACCAACCCTGGAGAGACGTTACTCCGCGTTCGTTCCTTCCTCCCCTTCCTCTTGCGAACTCCGTCGCTCACTCTTTGCCTTCTTCTTCCTCTTCTTCTTCTTCTTCTTCCCGTCTCGCGGACCCGGAGTTCAACCGGAGGCAGCCAGGCAGGAGACCACGATCGCCCTCTTCTCACAGGAGCGAGAGAAGAAGACAGGGAAAGAGGGGCGATCCCCCGTCGACATCGGGGAAAACGAGCGGGCCGAAGCGAGGTCTGAACGCGCGACGTCGTCCGTCGCGGAAGGCCGAGAGAAGGCACTCTCTTCTCGGCCCGGTCCTTTCGGCGGAGGAATTCTAGCTGGCGTGGCTCGGCGCGACCGCCGCCTCCACCTTCCTTCCTTCCCTCCACCCGGACTCCATTCAGAGACCTCCCTGGATGGGACGGTCCGCACACACCATCGGTCTACTCGGTGCCCGGTTCTGCGCGATATTTTGTGACTGCCTGTCTGTGCGGTGCTCGGTGCTTTAGCCTGTGCTTCCTCGGCTCCCTAGACCCATCGAGGAATAGGGAGGTCGACATGACCCGGTTGGGATTGCGGTGAGTTTCACATTGATCTCATTTTTTTCTCAATTCCGTCTCGCGTTACACTGATTCCTTCCTTCGATCAGATTTCTACAGCCGCTACTTCCTCTTCGTCCTCTCATTACCTCTTCTTCCTCTTCTTCGTCTCTTTCTTCGTCTGCTGGGTGTTTCCTTTGCGATTCATTTTCGTTTTTGGCTCGTCGCCGGACGGGCCCGACTGCGCCGATCTCACTCTGTTCTACGGAGGGGATAGTTTCACCCCCGTTGCGCGCGGGCTTCCGCGGAAAGGTGAGAGGATCCCCCAAGGACGATCACAAGAAGCGAACTCGCGTGCGCGCAGGAGATCGTCCTCCCGGAGTAGCTTCGACGCAGCCGCAAATCGTGTCTTCCGCGTTTTTTCATCTTGCTCGCGCGAGTTTTTTTTTCTTTTTCCTTTCCTATGTCAAGTTCCTTTACCTCGGTGACGAATATTTACCCTACTTCCTGTCTCAACGTTAGATCTCCACGAGATACAGCGGTCCCTTACAAAATCGTTCGCTTCGCATTTTGACTTTTTCAGATAAGTTTAATATCAGCTCTATTTAAGTGATGTACAGAATATTTATCTTTTCTTTTTCAAGTAATATCGCAAAAATGTAAATTTTAAAATTGTTGGAATCTATTTTCGAAAGAATCGAGTGTAACGCAAAATTTTTGTTCAAATAAAGATTTGCTATCTTTTTTCTTGTGGCTTTTTCACTCTTGCTTTTTACTCCATTTAGTTCCTTTGTATAATTTAACAATATCTGCAATATTTATCGGAATAATATCCCGGCGCAATTCTGCTTTCAGATTCGTCGCATCCGCAGTCTGCCTGGCCGGGATTGTTAGTGGGGTATGTAAAAGCTCTTGATCTTCTTTTTAACGCGAGTGTCTGTGGAAGTATCAAATGTCGTAACAACATGTTATATCAGAATTTTTTCTTATATTTTTTAAATCCATTTTTTCTCCGAAGAGAAAAAATATGTGGTCTTATCCTAAGTATAGAAAAATCTAATCACGCTATTTTAATATGTATTTCCAATGTGTTGTGCTTGTTTGATTCTTTGATGCAATATGGTGTGATTTTAGTTATATTATCGAAAATTATCATTCACGATCGGATCGACAAAAGCAGATGATCATCGACATTAATTTCGATCGACGCCTGTCAACAGATCGCGAGAAATAATTGCGCGCCATTGGAAAAATCAAGATCTGCGAACATAATATGTTGTTTTCACGCTGATACGTAATACGATCTTGCGGTACATTGTGCTTGTGCGACCGGTTCGACCTGCTCGCGTTATTTAGTTGGTCCATTCATCAGTGCGATCGCACGCGTGTGTACCCTCGAGTATGCACGCGCTTCCGACGCATAACTAGTGCATCCCAGTGCATTCTCAGCACGTGCATCCAAGTGACGGCGCGCTCGCGATTTCGTTATTCGCTGAGAGTAGCTAATACTGAGAACTTGAAAAGGGTCGCATTTCAGTCGATGGGATCGTACCTTGCTGGCATAAATCTCGGAAGCGCGCGAGATTTGAGAACACCGAACTCCTATGAAGAGATATTTTATTTATCACAATCGCAGCACGTGTGCACCCACGCACAGTCTCATTTCTCCTCGATAGAGAGATATTAATAAAAAGTATTTCTCACGTTTCAATTCACAGTTCATCGCCGATATATTAAGATTAGAGATGATCGCACGACATGTGATGTAAGAAATGACGATCGAACTTTAATTCTTCGAAGAGTCTTCGCATCATTGGATTATGGTTGAAGATATAGTTATTTTGCATCTCGTCAGAGTGCTGTATGTTCTTTTGATAATTTTCGGATCTCTTACATGTGCAAGTTCAAGCACAAAAATGGTACTTTACGGCATTGCACTTCGCTCGTGTAGGAAATGTCATAAAAGGAAGAAGAGGGGAGGGGAGGTTCATCTCAGTGGCGAGGTCTGTATTTTAAGCGCGTTACATACTACTACTCGGCGATAAGAGTCGTTTTATGGAAAATTACCAAGACGTGTGACAAATATAGCGGTGATTGTAGAGAACGTAATAAAAGTGATGAGGATTTTGTTAATTCGAGCTACGCTAATCGATCCCTGTATCGCGCTTGTAAATATGACGAAATTTACGAAGACAATAAATAGTAATCAGATTTGTTTATTTATTATTCGATTATGCAATCTAATATCTGACTTTTTTATTATTATGCAAGAAGTATAACAATTTTTTTTTAATATTGAATTTTGTTATCATTGATGTATACATATCCCAAGAATGTTATTCATATCCTATTAAAAATGTTATTTAAATGATTAAAATCAACATGGACGGCTTTAATATTTATCAAATAAGACTCAAGCTTTGAGTAGTACCATATATATTTATTCGTTTAGAACTGATTCTTCAGCGACCATTTAGGATAAAAGTGTTTTCCGGACATTTATAATCGATGAGGATTTTTATAAAAACGCTAAAATTTTCTAAAACTTGATAACTTTCTAATTTTTAAAAATCATTAAAAATAGATATTCAAAATTATTATGATCGAATTGTATTCATTTATTCTATCAAGTCTCACAATTAACGTATGTCACTTAGTAACTTTCACTGGAAATGGTAACGCCCAACTATCAGATTCTCCTTCTGTTATATCTATTCGCGCCGCCCTTTCGCAACCTTTCTTCGGCCTAATTCCTTGGAATGCTCGGCAGCTGAATAACACAGTAGGAAGTATTAGGGTTCTGTTTGTGAAATGACGTCAGCAGGGTTCTTCTGCATACTGTCTAACACGTGATGTTTATACTGATTTATAATAAACTATAAATTCTTTTTGCTCGGCAGCTGAATAACACAGTAGGAAGTATTAGGGTTCTGTTTGTGAAATGACGTCAGCAGAGTTCTTCTGCATACTGTCTAACACGTGATGTTTATACCTATTTATAATAAACTATAAATTCTTTCTCTCTCTCTCTCTCTCTTTCTAATAAGTTATATTAATATACACGATCTATAAAGATTATGGAAAAAGTAAACGAATTATTGCTTATTTCAACAGCCTCCTATCAAATACACAAGAAGCTATTTAAACATCCCGGGTTCACAAGTCGATTGATTTTTAGGATCGTTTGATTTGATATCTACTAGATTTTCTATTGATCTTCGAAAGAAGATCGATATATTATCGATGCAGCGTTGATAAAACGTTGATCTTTTCGATTTATGAACCAGGGCATTCACAGAAATGGCATTTAACAAACATCCTAGTCTTTCGAGATGATTCTCTCATAAACCTAGATAATCAATGCGGATCGTTTCAAAGATGGGTAACCGATAAAATCGCTGGACGATTCACTATACCTTCGTAGCTCCGGTCTGATCTTCTGCCTTCTCGTTATAAGCCCACCGTGATTTTTTAATACTTCCTTGGGCAGGAACGGGAAGGTGTTAGATCCGAAATAGGGCAGTCGTCTCTTACACTGACCAGTCCGCCTACGGCGCCGTAACTATGCTCGCTGTAATTTTATTACCACCGCCACGTACGCGCACGTGTACACGCACCGTACACGCGAGCCAGCTTATTAGTCACTACTGGAAATAGTCGGCAATTGAGCGCGCTCGGGACTTGATTTCCCCGAGTCTCGCAGACTCGTCGGAGGACCGTGGGGGCGCACTGGGTTAAAACAGCACTATGCCCCCGTTTGCACCTGTTTTCCTCATTCCTAGCGCGATTTCGCTTTCGCTCAAAAATTTCTCGCGTAGTACAACGCACATGGGGAAGAGAATATGCCGTTGTACAAAACATGAATCTCACTAATCGGCGGTTTCGTCGCGTATAGGCGTAAACTGTGCCACGCAGGAATTAGCGATTGTTTG